GACCTGCACTTATCACTACATGGCATTGGACAGAAGGGCGAGAGCCCAGCTGTTGCTGGATCGATAACAACAACAACAACAACATATTATCTTAACCATGATATGAACATGACCGTGACAGGCAATTGTAATTCTTTTTCCAATCATTGTTGTGATAGTAATCATTACAGCCTCACAGTCAGGAGCAATACGAACGACAGCCATGTTGCTTTGGGCTGAAGTATTCGACTGGACAAAATCCATCACTTCCACTTAGGAATACTTAGTGCAATTGTTTGAGAACATGAAAAGAAAGAAACGAGAAAATAGGTCCGAGAAGATACCCTAAAGCTGTAGTGTTCAACCTCTGGTCACCGAACAAAAATAGCACTGTCGACTGATTTCCATTGATTCCCGAAGCGCTACAAAATACCCCAACACGTTAAGAATCTATCACACACAAACTCAACAGAAATCAAGCGAAGAAGAAACATGTTTTTACGACTACCTATAACAAGATTTAAGTTGCACAGAAATTTCTTTCTATTCTAAACAGAGAGCCCAATACTGACAGTGAAGAGGTAAACAGTTACATTTTTACAAAGCACCATAGACAAATGAAAAAAAAAATGTTAAGTATTAGTAATTGGTATTATGGACTGCACTTATCCCCGAGAGTATGTTATTGGATAGGCATACTAATGCGTTAGAATTCTCGAAAAAAAATTTGACAATAGATAGAAGCGAATAAACACCTCACTCAGACTTCAAATTATATCCCCAGAGTACTCGCCTTCGGGATCTCGGCGCCTCCTTAATCATCAACTCCCTGCGCTGGTGTCGAGAGAAAGGAGACAGTTCCGAAGAACAGGTTCCCATTGATAAGGAGAGTCAGTATCGAATTGAGCACCGGCCCTTCCTGACAGAGGGCTGTCACCATCAGCACGGCAGGGTGGCTTACAGACTGAGCTTTCTTCGTGAGCTAGAACGGGCCCGTCGGAAGAAAACTGCCAAGGATTACTCTACTGTCGCGGCTGCCATGCAGAAAAAGACATTCGTTCAGGAACTCTTATAAGTCGGCACATCTACTGACTAGAGGCTGCATACATTTTGTTTGTTTGTTTGTTGTATTAATTTATATTTTTTCTCGTTTCTCCTAATTTGTCATAAGAACTTCTCGAAAGTGCTTCACTGTATCCTTATAATATGCAGTAAAATTCCATTATTTTCTCTTTTTTACACTTCAAATCAAACCTGTGTGACACCACAGTGTCTTGTAAAAGTTATCGTAATTCATTTATTAGCTGCGATAACCTTCTGAGTGGTTTTCTTTGGCATTATCAAACAAAGCGCGTGTCGCAGTACAGGGACAGCCCAGGACGACGGTCATGGAATGACATTAGAAAATAATCAATAGAAGGCACAGAATAATGGTGAAGAAAGACTAATACAAAATTGTGTAACAAAAAAGACAAAAGATCTTTTTTAGCTCAAGGTTATTGTTCATTGTTCAAATAGGGAAGGTTATTGTTCATTGTTCAAATGGGGATTCATAGAAAGATTATCCTGTCGGAAACAAATCACACGTTTTTAAAGATTAGCTTTGGCCCTGCCTCTGCCAAATTCACACTCTGACCCTGAGACTGTAACGTTCTAATGGGCATAATTCGATTCATTGTTCTTGCTTCAAAGGAACCCAGGAGTGCTGAATTCGGGTTGGAGTTGACGACGTATTTTTTTTTACACAAGGGAAGTAATACTGTTCATATAAAAAAAGCTATGTAATTCATGCGTTCTGTCCCTTCGTATCAATGAGAGGGGCCAACAAAATTATTTCCCCATGTTAGGACACAATTCTTTCATTTCCCATCTTTACATTTCGGAAGTAATTCAAAGGTCTTAACTAATTCTTTTCTTAATCTAGCTTTATTCCTTTCTTGATACATTCAATAATTTTTGGAAGCGATAAGAGAAGAGTGTTCTATTGACTCCATTTTTATAACTCAGCTATTCAATGTTCTGGCAGCATTGGAATTATCGGTTTCATTTTTCAAGCCATAAAACATTAACTGAACCGATCCCAACAGTCTAAGAAAAGAAAATGCTCATCAAATTTAGGAATTGAGTTTCATGCGGCACCTCGGTGAGGTTACTCAGACTCCGATATTTGATTGTTGTTAGTGGCGGGCGGATTTGCTACTTGGTTTTGGGATTTGCTGGTACTTAGTGTGAGTGAGACTACCCAAAACCTGGAACCCCAAATCCCAAATCTTTGAAAAGTACGAAACAAAACAAAGTTTTGAAATATATGCCTGCTTAATTTCTAAACTGAAATATCTCAAAATAATATTCAAATACTACAAAATCTTGTATGCGATAAGTAAACTAGTCCTTCAAAAAATGTACCATTAAATCGACAAAAAATTGATCACACGGACTTGTTTCCCCTCCTTATTCATTGGAATAAGCTGGAATCACCAACTTACGACGCAAGGACGAGTCCATTGTACTTTCTAAAGGGGGGACACTCCTACTCACTTGGCTGGTAACTGGTAACTGGTATTGGGATTTGGGATTTGCTCTGCGCACCCACTACTTGCTCCAGAGCAGTTACCCAGGCCTAGGCCTTGTCGCCTCTCACTCTCCCACTACCACTACCAACTACCAGTACGAAAGCAAATCCTAAATCTACGGCTGGGGCGCTTGAGACGACAGGTTATGACGTGAGGGGTGAGGGTGGTGTTGTTTGTATCGCTTTCGCTTGGGCTGGTGGGGAAACTAGATCTAGACTAGATTAGGCTAGGCCTAGGCCTAATTGGATGAAGAAAGGGTGTTTGAAAGCAGCTGTCTAGTGTCTAGGTATATCTAAACCATGTGTTTGTCTATGTCCTGCACTGTGGTGTCATGCCAGTGCCTGGCTTCTCTTCGTTATTGTTCTTCTTGTCATGTGGGACTAGATCATTGTTCTTAACAAAAACACACGTTTAGGATTAGGAATATTTTAAATTGTTTTCTTAGCTTTTGATCTTTGAATAAACAATTAAACCAACATATTAAAGCTGGGACCACGACCCCCCCCCCCCCCCCCTTCATTTCCTCCAAAACATAGATCTACATCATTTTAAAAAGCACCCGCCTAAATCTCTTCACGCGACTATTCTAATTCAAATAATAATGAATTTATTAGATCTAGATCTAGATATGTACAACATAACCTAGCCCAGGGCCCAGAGCCCAGAGCCCCCCCAGTGAACCAGTCCTCAAGTTGTGATGTTGTGATAGGCCAATTAATTCCAAAACCCGCACTATTGTAGGCCTAGGAAAGTTCTAATGTCGCACATCCGCCCGCACAGTGCACAGTCGCGCAGCGCGCAACGGGATTTCGTCTGCTAGGCCTAGGCCTACTGGTACTGGTAACTGGTAACTGGTAGTGGTACTGGATTTGCTCTGCTACTTGGTTTTGCTCTGCTACTTGGTTTTGCTCCTGCTACTCAACGCAGAGCAGCGGACTCAAGAAGGGGAGTATACTCTCTACTCATGAGTCCCAGGATTTGGGTTTGGTACTGGGATTTGGGAGTATCTACTGGATTTGGTACTGGGATTTGCTGTTACTCATTTCCGGCAAATTTGCCCACCACTAATTGTTGTAGGCTAACAACGTCCAAAGTCGGCCTAGGCCTTCCAAGAGGCCTGGATCTAGGCCTTGCCACTCTCTTTTCACTCGCGAACTGAACAACCAATCACTGGCATGCGAAATGCACCACATGACGTCATCGCAATGGCAGCCATAGGAAGTTGTTGAGTGTGTACAGTTACTTGTGTTGGAAACTTGTTGCGCTTTCTCAGTGACGTTGGACTTCATACGATTTAGAATCTATGACTATTTCGTCTGCTGTATATGTTTCATGACAGATATGTGTATCTTGTTTTCAGTGAGTAGTTAAAATGTAGAAGTGATTGTGAAGAATTGTTGCCTCTTGACTTGTACTTTCACCCACTGGACTCGACTCGGTCTCCTGTACTGTAGGCCTACTGTAGATCTATCGTACCGTGCTGCATGGGGTGCCTTTAAGTGTGCACCATTGCCGTGTTGAGTCTGTGTGTTCACGGGGGTGTGCGATCGAGAAAGTGATATTTTCCCCAAAGAGGATATAACTAGATCTAGATCTAGCATCGGATAGAAACATTTCAGTTTGTTTGTGTGCTTGAAGGACGTGCTTGAATTTTCTTTTCATCTGAAAATATTGGATTCTTCGCTTTCTGGGCCTGTCACTGTCGTGGGATTTAGTCTAGACTCAAGAATCTAGCCTACACTTTGACTTTGGTAAGTGGCTTTTAAAATCGTCGGAAATGTGTGGAGGTGTAACGAGCAGGAGGTGGGTAAAAATTGCAATTGGAAACTGATCATAGAATAGATCTAGATCTAGATTATACTAGAATCTAGATCTAGATCTAGATCTAGATCTAGATATTAGAATTAATCTAGATTCTAGCTAGATGTCTAGAAATCTATAAAGATAGGCTTCTATAGCCTACTGTGGACTAATTTTACTTTTTTTAGAGTTTTAGAATCTAGATTCTCTTGAATCTATATCTAGATCTAGATCTAAATCTAGATCTAGAGTCACGACCCCCTTCGTGGGACACCTCCCTCAATGGGACACTGACTGAATCTAGTCGGTTTGATCGCGTCTCGTTAAAATTTCGCGGCTTTCAGCAGCCCAGTTTTGGTTTAGATCCAATCTAGACATATTTTTCTTGGATCTGCAAGAGTGGCAGCCTTCTCGTGACTTTACTTTTCTTGTGAGACCTTTTTTTTCTTCTCAGTCGAGTAGGCGAGTAATGGCCGCCGCCATTTTTACCACTTTCATTTCTTTTGTGTGAAAGTTCATAAAGGTACTGTGAATGACATCATAAGTTTAAAATAGCAACAACTGGCCCAAAGGGTCTTCCTGAAACCTAAAAATAGTGTCAGCCAGGGTTTTTTCCTCCAATCAACCACTGTCCCGAGATTTTGGCTGGCCCATGTGAGGGGTACTGTCTTTCACTATGGAACCCTAGATGGGCCAGCTCCCCAGTTCAGGGTGTGAAGCCCTAGATGGGCCAGTTTTCAATATTCTAGTGCTATCCCCTATCCCTAACATGGGACAGGTGGCCCATTAAAGGTATTGGTTTTAATGTGGGACAGGTCCAGTACTGCTGGACCCATATATGGGACGGCTTCCTATATGGGACAGCTGCGACATGGTTTTAGTTTTGAACTTATATTGTAATCAGCTACTCTGTTCAAGTTACATGGGACAATTTTTAATGTTAATTCTTGAAAGTAACCACTCAGTCTACAGAGAGAGACAGTGGTACTGATACACTTATGTTTGAGTTTTTAAGTGGGACAAATTGGCATTGATCTCTGAACTTTCATGCTAGAGTGGAGTTTTTTCTTCAGCACTATGGCACCATCAAAGCGCCTTGCCAACTCTGAAGATGCCATCCAGGCTACAGTGGATGCTGTTCAGCCCCCCCCCCCCCAAAAAAAAAGAGCTTTAGGGAAGCCTTCAAGCAGTATTAAAATTGTATGCTTTATTTAGAGACAAAAGAATGCCATTTCAATCAGAACACCCCAAGCGCTTAATGGGAGCCAGAGAGCGTCGGTCACAAAAGAAAAAAATTTTGAACTGGTTTAAAAAAGCAAAACAAGACATTAGCAAAGTTGATCCAGGTTTGCTCAAGTGTCCAGAGAGGATTTACAAGTATCAAAAGTGTCCTGCACCATGTGTTGTGAAATTGTTACAGCATGCATGTTTGTTGGGAGCATGATGTTATATATAGACTATAATAGACCTATATATATGTCATTGTTCAGTGTATCAGTACCACTGTTTTAAAGTGAAAATGAAATTTACATGCACAAATGAAAGCAGAACATCAAGCAATGAAATTACATGTTGAGTTTGAGTACATTAGTGTCCCAACAAGCTGAAAACTAGGGGTGTCCCATATTGGGTGCCTTAGTGTCCCATGTGAGGAGCCTGTCCCATTTGGGGGGTAATTAGGATTTTCTGACACTGTCCCAAAAAAGGTTGGATTACTAACATAAAATACCAAGTGCCAAGCATGGGACACCCCTCAAATGGTCCAAGGGCATGTTACTCTTCATAACAGCACTAAAAGAAAAACATTGATAACTGGATTTGAGTCTGAGAGTGATTTTCCCTACGTGGGTAGCTTAGTGGCCCACGAGTGGGGTCGTGACTCTAGATCTAAAGTCTAGGTCTAATCTAGATCTATAGATCTATATATATATAGATTTTTTAGGCCCACTGAGGCCTTTGGTTAATTCCCTGTTAGCCTATCCTGTATTGTTTTTAAAAACTTGGGCACAGGCCAACACTGCCAACAGCACACAGGAAAGTCAAGAGCCCAGAGCGAGCATAGATCTAGATCTAGATAGATCTAGATTTCGGTGCCACTTACTGTCAATGTCTTTAGGCCATACCCAAAGGCCAAAGGGGGAACATTTTTCTTGTTCTAACTTCTAGTGCACTGTAGAATTGTAAGTGGAATAGTTTTCATTCTCTCCGCGTGTGAGAATAGGCCAAACCTAGATCTATTATATCTAGATCTATTTATTATGTTTCTATGTCTTGCTATTCTCACCCCCTCCATTGTTTTTCCGCAAATGGCCCAAGAGGGATCAGGGCTGAGGTTACCGGGGCTAATCTTAACAGGATCTCGTTGTTGTCCGAACAGACATATACATCTAGATTTAGATCTTGATCTAGTCACAGTCAGGGTTGTCAACTTGGAGCCAAATCCCAGAAATTTGGCTCTTTTGGATCGCGTCTGGTCCGGAGAATTTCATTTGGCTCTGCGGCTCTATTTTTGCTCCTAACTCCAAGTGTTGAAGAAGAAGGGGACAGAAGAGGCAAGGGAAAAAAAGAAAAGAATAAAAATGAAAGTGAAGAAAGGACCTTGGATTGCTTAAAACTATTAAACTAAATCTAGATCTAGATCTAGTTAACTTACATGATTTAATGCCCTCGTCCATTTGGTCTGAATACTTTACAACCCTTCAACCGTCGTGCAAGAGCATGGTCTCGTGCTCGTGTCTCGTTACGTTCGTACACGCTCTCTGTTCCTTGAACCTTAATGTATTGTGTGCAGAGAGGCCAGCCATCCTTATGTGTGTAAACAACGAATAGTCTGGCTGGCGACCGGTCCCACATCTCGCTCAGTGTCGATAGTGAGCCTTTTTTTTTACTGGAGAGGCAAAATATGATTTTACATTATAATTATTATTATATTCGTTCCCAACCACATGCGATAAGACACCAAGGTCAGGGGGGAGTCCTCGCCTCATGCCCACATAGGGGTGGGAGCTATTTGCTATTTTAACCGGGGGGGGGGGGGGGGGAGGGTGAGAATAGCTAGCCATTGTAAATGGGCAGATCTAACTATGTCCTATGTCATGCTCATAACTGTGCCTGAACAACAACAGGGAACTGCTGTGTTTTCTTTCCTAATCCTTACTATCATCATTTTCCTCTCTACTTCTTTTGCATGTTTATCAAACACTCTTGTGACCCGCTATTTCCGGGGTGCCTATGGTCGAAGCAGACTTTGTGCTGCTGAAGCTAGAGAGGTGAGCAGAGTAAGTCTGATTCCCTGTAAGGACTTCTCTGTTGACTCCCACCCCTTGACACTCATCATATATATATATGACCTTATTGAATTGCGAGCGCCGAAAAACTTCTCAAGAAAAAACAAAATCAAAATTGAACGTATAGATCTAGATGTAGATCTAGGCTCAAATAAGGGGGGTGGGAATACCGAAAAAGCACCATTCTTTTTAGGTCTGGGGGGCATGCTCCCCTGATACTCCCCATGTTATTAAAATTTAATAAAAAGTCAAATAGATTGGCATAACGCCATTAGTCACTACTACTGTAACACAATATAATAGTTTTCTGTTTTCAAACATCAATTATAATAAAACTCAATAAATTGATTTGTGACAAAAATGAAGGCCATTTCGTGTTCAGCATGCAAAATACTAAACAAAATTTTACTAGGAAAAAAATGTATTTTTATAACATGTCACCATGAGACGGATAGCAATGAGTAAAAAAAAATGTATATATATATTTGTGAGAACAATGTGAACCGCAAATATGAATATATACATGGCTGGAAGATCTAGTCTTTCAGATTGTTATATTTTTATATCATTTTGGCTGCATTTGACTCTTCCCAGTTTCACAGTGGATTGAATTGGGTAGGCTTTTCCTTTTTGAAGTCATGGGCTTGTCCGTCCTCTGCTTGGTGAACCTACCTCTTGTCAGTATGCTCGAAAGGTCATTTGTTCAATATTAATATTTAAAGTTGTTATTGACTAACTATAGGTCTCCAGTAATTAATGCCTTGCTGTTGGCACCCCTCATTTCCACATGCATTTAATTGGCTTCTAGTACATGCATGAACCCACTTCTCTTTCTTCCTTTGAATTGATGTTTCACCAATGTGTAGCGCCCCTTACTTAGATAGGTCCTCCTGCTTTGAGGCATCATCATGTTGTCTTTGATGTTCATCTTGTGGAAGACTTCTCGCATTACAAATCTGATTATTTTTTTAAACATTGAGTTGAAGGATGGCTCAACATGGTGAATTTAACTCTTTACTTTGTCTGTGGCAAGCTGCTGTCAGCGGCTTGTGGTGGAACCCACTATACTGGCGAGCGGCTCGGTCAAATTCCTTGGACCCGCAGTTACCCTTATTTTCTAAGATATAATAAGATATTATCTGAACAACAGCATAACATAGGCTGAAAATGGGGTTAAAATTATTTTTCTGGCCTTACTTTCAGAAATAAAAAACATACAGTTCCCTTGTTGCAAAAGACCATTGTCGTCCACTAACAGGATGGATGATTCAAGGCCTCTGTTGTATGCTGTCAGATTTTCAGTTGAAAGTTTTGGAAGGCAGTACTGAGAGCAGCAAAGTAAAACAAGAAGCTATTACTATTTATTATCGCTCGCTATCCATTCTAACATCATGACCAAAATATACAGTGGAGTCCAGGAATCTCGAACACCAAAATCTCGAATTATCGGGTATCTTGAATCGGTCCTGTTTCCGTCTGTATGTTTTGTTTGTATTGATTCTCGGAGTTCCTGAACACTTGGAACTCGCAAAACTCGAATCTTGGACAAATCCACTTCGCATTTTCAACTAAAGATCCGACTTTACAGCATTTCTGGCTGCCGGTAGGTGTTTCTTTGTTATATTATTGACAGCCGAAACGTGGTCATTGTCTCACAAGGAGAG